TGCAAAGCAAAATTATTTATCAGCTTTTCATATTTATCGAAACCTTTAAGAAGTGGCTTTATTCCCTATTGCCTTCAAGTGATAAATCGTAGAATAATGAAAGGTTTTGGATAACAATGGAAAATATTTTGATTAACAAATACTTTGCTTGATGTTATTAACTTTAAGAATTCCTTGAGAGAGATAAAGCAAGTTGGAAATGAATTCAAAAAGCAAATAATTTCAAGACGATCGATTCATGTTTATCGCAAATACTATATTTATTGCTAGAATTATTTTTGTTAATATACACAAGTGTGTACGACAACTCGATACGTATTAATTTAAAATATCAATTAAACTAAACTAAGGTAAACAAGAAGCACTTCTCTTTATCGATATTGAGATGTAAGTGAGTGTGTGTATGGATATGCGTTTATTAATAAATGTTTAAACAACTTAAAAACCAAAACAGTAAATATACACTTGTATAGAAGTTAAAAATAAACTGGAAATTCAATTCAACTTGAACGTGATTTTGCATTATATCTATGATCACAATCGCACACAACAACAATTTTTTCTGTACCAAAATTAATGCTTAAGCGCGTATTAATGCCTTTATTTGATTATAGGCTTTTTTCACCAGAAATGAATGTGCAATCCATGCAGGGAGCTATACTTTGTTAATTCACAATATCTGTTCAAATCATGGCAAGATTTACAAAAATTTCAACATTTTATATATGTAAAATAATTTTTATCGTTTCATTGCATACAAAGATTCCTTAAATCACGATGTTATTCATCGATAAGCAAAATTTTTTCAAATTTCTGGGCAAAATTTCGCAATAAGGTAAGCATATCTTTTTGATAAGATCAAGGATGATGCAGTTTCCAACCGAAAGATTGAATTGCTTCCGTCAGTGCACGTAGTGAACCTAGGCAACAAGTTTTTCGTAGAGATAGGTTAGGGATGCACTAGAAGAAGCTTTGATTTCTTTATAAAAGAACACTTGTTTTCTCATAGACAATTTCTATGGAGGAAATACAAACTAACTAAATCAGGACCGATTAGGTTGAAAAATAATGTAAAGTATCAATAGTCAGAAACAAAAAACAGTCCATGTCATTTGCATCCGCCGACGCGTACATATCTTAAGAAAAAATAGTTTGTATTTGCCTAATCGGGATTTTATGCTAGATCCAAAGGCAAGTATGACTGCGATCGGGCAAAGCAATGCTAAGATCTTATAACCTAAATCTAAGCTTCATGGAAGTCAGGGTTCCACTCCCTATTCAGCTCTGTATATAGAAATTTTTTGGGGAACGAACATTCTAGTTGTGGTAATGAGTTTTGACTGCTGGGTACAGCCGAAAGATGTATCGTGGTGGCTATGATTTTGATTTGATGTCTCAAATTGTTCTCGCTTTGGAATAGTTGCTTATATCATTAAAGCTTTCCTTATGATGATCTCATATCACTCTTGAAAACTATGAAAAGATATGAGGATAATATATTAATAAATAAATGTTGCCTGAATGTTAAAGTTTATACTTTTTGGAGTATATTATATTACAATAACACAACAAAGTGGAATTAAATATGAAATTAAGAAATTGTGAGCAGACGGGTGAACTTACATCACTTCGACAAGAAGCGTTATTTCACGCTCAGTTCGGAAAAAGTGTGCCTACAACTCAGAGGTAAACAGATAAAATCGTCATATTCTCTTAATAACTTACACAAAATATAAATCATTATAAAAAATAGAATACAATAACGATATAATGAATGGGATTGATATTAACATTGATATATTTATATTTATCTCTTATGTATCGTATATATTTATACAATTGTTTGATTGTCAATAATTGGCTAACTAGTCCTTCTTAAAAATTCGTTTTTCTCTTGTGAAAAACAGCCGTTGTTATAAGATATTGCCAGCTTAAAATATTTTGGCAATTGCATTGACGGCAATTACATTAGTTTATGCAAATGTCAAATCTATAGATGTTGAAGAAAATTAGTGCAAATATTTAATAGAAAAAATATTTTCTGTTCTTTTATTAAAAAAATTACAGTTTCCATTTTTGAATCAAGTTTACTTCGAAAAAAAAACAATAATCAAGGAAATGGCTTCTAAACAAGTAAAATATTTGCATACTGCACGTTTAATCACGTTGTTGACCGGTAATCGAAATCTATGGAAGAAGTAAGTAAATCAAATGCGAAATATGTTGATAAGATTGTAAGTGATTGTAAGTGACGTAATAGATTAACCCAATTGTTTAATTACAAAATGTTTAGAAAATGTGTTAGTAAAAGTTTACTTTTATTATGATAAACAGTTCATGGTCGGCCGTTCCGCGTTTATTTAGTTCTGAAAAATCCGCGGAACAGCAACAACAATCTCAACAATTATCAGAAAATTCTCCAGCGGATACCGGAACTGTGGGGAATAATTCAATTGATCAGATAAAAAAGCTGACTCAAGACTTGGAAGACTTGAGTAAAGAAGCGGAAAGTTTGAAGGAACAAAATATTCAGTTATTGGATAAATATCGACGATCTTTGGCTGATAGCGAGAATTTAAGATCACGTCTTAGTAAACAAATAGCCGATGCTAAATTATTTGGCATACAGGGTTTTTGCAAAGAGCTACTAGAAGTAGCTGACATCTTGGGACATGCAACAAATTCGGTACCTCAAGAAGAAGTGGGTATAAAAAATAAGAAGCTGGAGAAGAAGGCGATTTTGTTTATATCTAATTTTATGAATAGTTAACAGATAAAAATCCTCATTTGAAAAGCCTATATGAAGGCTTGTCTATGACGCAGGCATCGCTCTTTCAAGTGTTTAAACGTCATGGTTTGGAGACAATGAATCCTTTGAAAGAAAAATTTGATCCTAATCTGCACGAAGCTTTATTTCAGAAGGTGCGTATTTAAATTATAAAATTATATCATTGTTAAAATTTGTCGCTTTATTTTTAGGAGGATTCTTCAGTGGATCCCAACACAATAATAGAAGTTACTAAACTAGGTTACAAATTGCATAATCGTGTGATAAGACCAGCTTTAGTAGGAGTATCGAAATAATCACTAGACGCTTCGTGTCTCGCAAAATCATTTATATTTTTTTTTTATAAAATAGATTTTGGTTTTCTTTTTAAGCAGTTGCTTGCAAAATGAAAAGAAAACAAAAATTCTTAAAGCTACGATCATATTGCATATATTTAGGAATTTTTGTCTTCTTTTCATTTAATTTAATAACTAATGCTCAAAGGGAGAGGTTTTTTTTTGTTGTAAAAATAAAAACACACCATTGGACTGAAGCAGTTACAGCTAAGCGATGTTTGAAAAACTATTTCAGTCTTTTCGTTATCTAAAGTATAAAAACTCCAAGCGTCCATCGACCCTATGTTACGTTATAAGTTTTTATATATATGTTTTTTACAAAACGTTGCCCACCTTACCGCTACACTTATTATGCCATAGCGATTTTTTCCAGAGTTGCACACTTTTTGCAAATTGCATATCAATTTTTTTTTTTTTTTTTTTTTTTTGTTAATAAAATTAGGAAATTTCTCCTAGAACATTTTGTCATACGTTGCAAGAATTTCATCAACAATACAATAAAATGAAAACAATTTTATATTTAAATATGAAATAAATTTCTTTGTTAAGCGGAGTATTTAAACTCAAAAAAATCCTAGAAAAGTAGTCGACTTGTACTATTCTATGTTCCTCTTAATTGATTTTCGTATTCTTGACGTGCTTTTTATCCTTTGTTGCTATCAAGAAATGAATATCATTCAAAGAACGCAACTATTCCATGTAAAGGACATTATGTCAATGTATTGGGAAAAAACACTTATAAAAGTTTCATTGCGATAGGTCGAGGGAGTGGCTCAAATAAACGGTAAATATTTACTGACAACTTGATGTTGCGCAATAAATAGCGGACTCGTCCGTGTTTCTGTAATCATTAAGCTTTTTTATATTATTTATGGAAACACTCGACAATTTTGCAAACTTACATTTCAACATTCTGTTACAGATTATGTAAAGTTTGCGTGGATGGTTGTAATACCGAGAAGGGCTTGGGATAGACCCGCTTTTTTAATTTTTCACTGATTTAAGTTCGTTTATATGTTGTCTGCCTGACTGACATTTTTTTGCCCGATTAGTGAACTTTATTGAAAATGGGTTTCGAAAATGCTCCTCATAAAAGCCCACAGCCAGCTCTACCATTACATACGCGACTTTCTGTTTATAAAGTGATTATGTGCTCCCTTTACATTTATTTAAAAATTGTAAATAATTTCCTCGCTAAAACTTTGAAACTCTTATCAAGCTATGATTAAGCCAATTATATGATTTGATAAGATCCTCAAATTTTTATTTTTGTTGCATATAGCTCAAATTTTTAATATAATTTTCGTTAAACTTCCTTTTTTTATATTTTCTTTCGATATATTTAATTTTTTTAATTTTTTTGTCGCAAAGTACCAGTTCGGGGCGAACACCTATATACAATTTTGATAAATGGTCTCGCGCTCATTACGGCCAATCATTCGAAAGACGCAAAACGGCGAAGGAGAAGCAGGATCTCCTAGTGTGGTGTAAATAAATATTGTAAAATGGTCATCAATGATTAAAAATATTAAAATATTTGTTTTCATCTGTTTTATCCGTATGATTAACTGGAACTACAATTCTCTGCATGCTTATGTCTTGCCACTTAACAAAGTTTTTTGCCATGTGTTGAGAATAGAGAGAGAACAGAGTTGCTTTCAATAAATTGCAATGTTTCGATTCTGTTAAGTGAGTGAGAATAAAGTAACTAAAGTATTAGAATGTGAGAGAAATCAAATCATTTCTGTTAAAGCAAGAATCGTCAGCCGTACGTGAGATGCTTTGTCATTTAAAAAAAATAAAAATCTGAATAATTACGAAATAAAGCGAAGCGCAATTAATTGATTGATTGAAAAGCATATATTTATTTTACATTTGCATGATTATATATAATTACTATGCAATCTACTTACATAAGTTTGTTAAAATTCTCGCCGTATATTTATAGGTTTTATTTAACGTAAGATCAACACATCGGTAAAGTTATACATCCCATAAACTCCGGAGCCATCTATATGACTCCGAAAATAATAATAATAAAATCTGATATAAGGTCTCTTGGCGTCTATTGAATGAAATATGTTGCGCGAGCGAAACCAGGCCGCTATTGCTTACATCAGCCCATAGCTAAATATGTCGACAAAAATCGTTAAATAATAGTAGTTCTAGATGCTACGTTGTTGGTCAATAAAGGGATTTTTGCTGATTATTTGTTAGATTCTATAAAATGATATCTAACTTATCTTATGTAGTACAGTATATATTCACTTCCCAATATCATAGGATATAAACTAGAAACCACGCCAAAATTAAAGGACAAACTTTCGTTTTTGAGCCATTCACATACATACAGTAGCCCAATAAAGTCTAGATGCGGTACCGAAAGATTGGGATCTCTCTTATTAAAAGCTGCATTTACGGATTGAAGTTCAAGAACATATTTCTTAAGGCACCAAAACTTATGTTAAGTAACATTTTCAGATTTTTTTTTTTGGCTTAAGATAAAGTTGTAAAAAAAAATATACCTCAATCCCATAAAAACCACAAAAAATCTACATAGAGTGACAACATATCACTAAAGGATTCGAGAAAAAACATCTGTAGTTAACGGTACTTAGTTTTTGTACTTTTTTTCGTATATTTAAATCATAATTTTTCAATTAAATTGAAATCCTTTTTGTATTATTATTATTACTTTCCTTTTGATTGATGTGCTAGGAGCTTATTTCATTAGTCTAAAATTATAATAATAATAATAAATTGAAACTGAAATTAGGAATAAAAATCAATTTGTATTTACTCTCATTGGTGAACCGTGTTATTTCAAAATCGTGTAAAATTGACCTTGCAAAAAAAAGAGTTGGGTTTAGTACGTATTTAGGGTCAAACCAGCTCATCAAAATTTCTCAATGTAGGTCACAAAAAAGCAAGACGGACAGACAAGCTTAAATCGATTTAGAAAATAGTTTTTGAGCCGATAGCCTGTGTTGCTAGTGCTCAATGTCTTTTTTTTAGTCTAAGAATTCAATTCATTAGTCTAAAATTAAAATAATAATGATAATAATAGAAAATAGTTCTGATATAATCAAGTCCTTATGGGTGTTGTATACATCCGCACAAACTTACTATACCCGCGTACTACGAATGGTGTGTAGCATAAAATAAACAAAGGCACTAAAGATGACGATCGCCAACATCTTCTTCATAAAAGGAAGAAAATTTTTTTTGTATGATTTTTATTTTTATTTTAATTGTTGTTGTTGTAGCAAAAAAAATATATAAATACTAGAAGAAGAAATTTGGTTTTCTGTAACAATTTAATAGGAGTTCAGAAACTATGGTTACAGACTAAAAAGTGAAGTATATCTGAGTAAGATATGCACAGCTTCATATGGTTGATATACAAGGAAATACGTATAGTGGGTAAATTCATTGTTGCGAGTGAGTTCGTGAGTTCATCTCCCATGAAGTTAATAGACGACATAGACAAAGTCAAGCAGAGTAATAACATTATGGGAAAAATGTATTCATGTGAATCTAATGCATGCAGTGTGCATTATATGAATTGTGAAATGCAAGCATAAACACAGTTACATGCACTATATTTAATGTAAAAATTGTCATCACATGAGATGAACTGAATTTAAAAAAAGTCAGTTTGCGTTTTTGCGATGCTCATCCAGCGGAACCAATTAATAGGAGCTCAGTACATTTAGAGTATTGAACTGATGTCTTAGGTGGAAGGGAAAACTTCACTACACAAACTTTAAATAACCAAGAAAATGAACGCAGCGACGCTTGTTAATGAAGGTCACAGGCATCAAGCCTGAAGGTGAAATGAAAGGAACATTTTTTTCCTTAAACCTTATGGACATAATACATCTTAAGAGATGTTTACATTAGAGACAAATACTTTTCCTTTCAATTTTCGCAACTAATGGTTAAAAAGAATTGTCAAGCTCTTGAACTAACTGCATTAAGCAAATATAAGTAAACGTTTCGACACTTTGTTGTTGTACTTTACTTGTAACGGTAGCATACAGCTATGCATAACAGAAATGTCCAGCAATGCGTGATCATAGTAATTAAGCGATCGGTCTTATGCCGCTGAAAAATAGTGGACCTTAACACATCTTACGCTTCTTTTTGCTTATTTCTTTTAAAAGACTGAGTTCCTTTTAATCACGCGGATTTTTTTTTTTTTTTTTTTGGTATTTTGTACTCATCTTTTGTTTCGTTTTCGAAAGATCTTCTTAAGGTCATCGTAACGGCATGCTTTGGTTTTTTTTTGCAAATGTGTCTCATCTACTTTTTGCATGCAAACAAGTAAGAAAATCACTCCCACCACATTTATTACATTAGGTTAGAATGTGCAAATGTATGGATTGTTGCAGTTTATGAGTGCAGAGCGAAATAGTTATTTTTATACCCATCACCGAAGGATGGGAGGTATATGGATTTTGCCCAATCCCCCAAAGTATATATATTCTTGATCTGCATCAAATCATAAATCGATTGAAGCATGTCCGTCTGTCCTTCTGTCTGCCTGTGTAATCTCTGTTGCAAATATTCTCCTGCCCGTGAAAATAAAGCTATCGACTTCAAATTTACCAGAAACATTTAAAGTTCTTGCACGCATGTTAGTACTGAAAATGCGCCAAATCGGTTGAAGGACACGCCAACAGCGCTACGTAAACTGTGAACCGCTCTGTTTTTCATAAAAGATTGGTTTTTGTGCTAATTACCCATAAACTCTAGTAAATAAATGTGGAAAAATTTGAACGCTTATTAAATTGGCGATGGTACAACATTTAAAAAAAAATGACCATGCCTGGCCAATGTTATAGTATATCAAAAATTAATTGCATTTTCTATATCTTTATAACTAAGGTTCAAAAACCCCATAAAGTATACAAATTCTTGGTCAATTACAACTCTTGAATGCACATTAACATGTCTCTCTGTCCATCTGTCTGTTTGCGTAAGTTTGTAGCATTTGTGCTAAACATTCTCCCATTAGCGATGGTGAAGACATTGCCTAAAAATTTGCAAACGAATTT